GATCTTCTACAAATTTTTATCACGTGGCATTTTATTAAGACCTTTTAGACATTTTCCAATTTTTCATTGTGTTTTTTTGTTGAGTATTTTAATACGTTAAAACAGGGGTTCTCAACTGGTGGGTCGCGACCCAAAAGTGGGTCGCGGACCTGTTCTGGGTGGGTCGCGGACAGCTGGGCAAAAATAAATAATATATAATGTGCGTCTCAGGTTGGACTTATTTTTTATTTTGAAAAAACTTTTATTATTATTTTTAAATAATTTTATTTAAAACTCATCACCTGCACCCCCCGTCTGAATAATAAGCTTCCCCCCCACCCCGCAGCTGCTGCTGCCGTGGAAACGGTGCTGTTGACGCGAACGTAAACACCTAAACTGGTCTAAGTAGCCAAAAGCTGCCTTTGCGTCCCGCCACTTCCAGCCCGTCTGCGCCCACTCAGAAGTCCGCTGGCTGTCGAGTTGGAAGATGTTGTCACGCTTTTACGAACTTAAGCCAGAAATGGCCACATTCCTCTCTGAGACCAACTCCCTGGACGCAGAAGTGTTTGACAACGAAATGTGGCTGCACCAGAGCATCAGCTGCTGGAGCTGTCATGTGATCAGACGCTGAGAAAGAGATGTGGGGAGGTCAGCCTTTCCCTCTTCTGGTGCAGCGATGTGATGGCTGAGCATCCCTCACCACTCCTGCAGGTAAAACAATCTTAGCATTCAGCTCAGCCTGTTGGTGTGACAGTAGCTTCTCTACCCTGGTCCAGCTCAGGTCACAGCAGAGGAACAGGTTGGACACTGAGCATGATGTGAGAGCAGCTCTGTCTGCTGTCAGCCCAGACTCTGGAACTGTGATCAGGAGTAGAGCACGAGCCCAACTGTCTCATTAACTTCAACACATGACCTGATGAGGCCAAAATTTTGTTTTAGAGTAGTTCTGATATTTATTTTATTCACTTTTCATGCAGTGGTCACGGTCCTCCTTAGTTTATTATTAATTTGCTCAAAATGGAGTGAAATCATGTTGCTTTGTGCCCTTTTTTATTTTGTGCGGTTTTGTACATGCAGTTGTCATGGTCCAGTTACTGTGCATGGTTATAAGCTCTGAAACGCATGTTGCACAGGAAAATATATTGAATATTGAATTCTAAAAAAATGGGTCACGACTTAATGACCTCGGGAAAATGTGGGTCCCAGAGTGAGACCAGTTGAGAACCCCTGTTTTAAAACATCAACAGGGTTAGTGCTGTGTGATGACACATGTTGGAAACGGCGCCATACAAATAAAACGGAGCTGAAATATGACACCTGACATTTCTCACTGAAGAAGCTGCAACCAGTAAATATCTGACACATCTGCTTTCAAAATAAAAAGTTCAGTTTCAGCAAACAAAAAGCTCTGAGAAGTGCGACAAACACGACTCACTGGAAAGAAAATGCACCGAAAAGTTACAACTAAAACCCATAAAGTAGAGGACTATTGATCAGATATGGACCAGTCCCAGTGACAGCAGCAGCAGCAGCAGCAGCAAACCACCAGTAAACACAGGCTGCACCACAAGCACTTCCTCTGCTGTATGCAAATGAGCTCCACTTTGGTTCAGGTTCCAGCAAGTCACATGACCCGTCACCGCGGCGATTCTCAGAACCGCCGACAACTTCCTGTTTCACATCGGCGGTCGGCGTTTGTGTGTCAGCCGCTCACACTGACACACACAACGTCAAAACAAAACTAACACATGCAGGTGTGTGAGTCACAAACACAGAGGGAGGGTAGTGGGGCACCACCGAGCACGGAGGAGGGGAGGAAGGAACCTAGGGGATGAGGAAAGAAACTATGAGACAAGATAGGAAACAAGGAGACAAGGAGATGGAAACTAGGAGACGAG